AATGACGTCACGTCAACAATCCATCAACGTCACGTCAACCCTGAATTTAGCATGTAACGTTATCATTACATTGTGTATATGATACACATTGGGGAAAACAGGGTACATGTAAGAGAAAAAGAATCATTCACCCCCTTGTGGGTAAGATAGGGGAATCTCAACCCTCGGGGAAAGATTCTTAAGTTGCCAAACACTCGGCAAAGCCTCGTGTTTGGCAACATAAGAATCTTCCCCCTCGGGTTGAGATTCCCCTATCTCACCCCAAAGGGGGTGAATGATTCTATTAGTGTAATCTTGGGTAGGGTAAGGTAAAGCTGTGTGAGGTTGGGGATTATATAGTGTAATCTTGGGCAGGGTAAGGTAAAGCTGTGTGAGGGTTGGGATTATATGGTGTAACCGTGGTTAGGGTAAGATAAATCTGTGCAAGGGTGGGGAGTCTATAGTGTAATCGTGTGTAGGGTAGTGTAAAGCTGTGTGAGGGTGGACATTCTATAGTGTAATGTTGGGTAGGGTAAGATAAAGCTGTGTGTGAGTGGGGATTCTATAGTGTAACCGTGGGTAAGGTAATGTAAAGCTGTGTGAGGGTGGGGACTCTATAGTGTAACCATGGGAAGGGTAGTGTACAGCTGTGTGAGGGTGGACATTCTATAGTGTAATCTTGGGTAGGGTAAGGTAAAGCTGTGTGAGGGTGGGGACTCTATAGTGTAACCGTGGGTAAGGTAATGTAAAGCTGTGTGAGGGTGGGGACTCTATAGTGTAATCTTAGGTAGGGTAACGTAAAGCTGTGTGAGGGTGGGGATTATATAGTGTAATCTTGGGTAGGGTAATGTAAAGCTGTGTAAGGCTGGACATTCTATAGTGTTATTTTGGGTAGGGTATGATAAAGCTGTGTGAGGGTGGACATTCTATAGTGTAATATTTGGTAGCGTAAGGTAAAGCTGTGTGAGGGTGGGGATTCTATAGTGTAATCTTGGGTAGGGTAAGGTAAAGCTGTGTGAGGGTGGGGATTATATAGTGTAATCTTGGGTAGGGTAATGTAAAGCTGTGTAAGGCTGGACATTCTATAGTGTTATTTTGGGTAGAGTAAGGTAAAGCTGTGTGAGGGTGGGGATTCTATAGTGTAATATTTGGTAGTGTAAGGTAAAGCTGTGTGAGGGTGGGGATTCTATAGTGTAATCTTGGATAGGGTAAGGTAAAGCTGTGTGAGGGTGGGGATTATATAGTGTAATCTTGGGTAGGTTAATGTAAAGCTGTGTAAGGCTGGACATTCTATAGTGTTATTTTGGGTAGGGTATGATAAAGCTGTGTGAGGGTGGGGACTCTATAGTGTAATCTTAGGTAGGGTAACGTAAAGCTGTGTGATGGTGGGGATTATATAGTGTAATCTTGGGTAGGGTAATGTAAAGCTGTGTAAGGCTGGACATTCTATAGTGTTATTTTGGGTAGGGTAAGATAAAGCTGTGTGAGGGTGGGGATTCTATAGTGTAATCTTGTGTAGCGTAAGGTAAAGCTGTGTGAGGGAGGGGATTCTATAGTGTAATATTGGGTAGCGTAAGGTAAAGCTGTGTGAGGGGGGGGATTCTATAGTGTAATCTTGGGTAGCGTAAGGTAAAGCTGTGTGAGGGTGGACATTCTATAGTGTAATTTTGTGTAGCGTAAGGTAAAGCTGTGTGAGGGTGGGGATTCTATAGTGTAATCTTTGGTAGCGTAAGGTAAAGCTGTGTGAGGGTGGGGATTATATAGTGTAATCTTGGGTAGCGTAAGGTAAAGCTGTGTGAGGGTGGAATTCTATAGTGTAATTTTGGGTAGCGTAAGGTAAAGCTGTGTGAGGGTGGGGATTATATAGGTTAATCTTGGGTAGCGTAAGGTAAAGCTGTGTGAGGGTGGGGATTCTATAGGGTAATCTTGGGTAGCGTAAGGTAAAGCTGTGTGAGGGTGGACATTCTATAGTGTAATCTTGGGTAGGGTAAGGTAAAGCTGTGTGAGGGTGGGGATTCTATAAGTTGTAAGATAAGACAGTTTAGGGTTACTGACTGTGGTGTTACAGTGATGGGATAATAATGGCTTGAGAGGAGAGGGATATATCTCTATATATGAACGATGACAGGGAATTATCGTAGCACAATTTAGTGGCCTATTATTTAGACCCATGTAGACAAATAATGGCACTTGTCTCTCTGGTTACAGAAACTAGACATAACACACACTTTCCAATGAGTTATGCATCAATGGGTGTCGCACTTAGTGTTCCCGTAAACGACTGAGTTGAGATACATTCATTATTCAGCATAGCTATACTACGTGAGCCAGCATGCCGTGCATGGGAGTTAACATACTGTTTGTAATCAATAAACCAATATGTAATGTGAAAAGCACACACAGTCAAACCATTTCAATTACAAAGAATAAAATCAGCATTTACATGAAAATATACTGTACATGGAGAGTGAGAGAGAGATTTATAGAGTATTTACATATACACAGTCGATTTTGTTTTACCTGTCTGCAAACTGGACATGGAAACATCGTTGCTCCTTCATGGCGAGATAATTGCTGTTTGCAGTAATCGCCCAGACATTTCTCACAGAACGTGTGAAGACATTGTAGAGCCCTGGGTTGATCATAGGGCTGTAGACATACAGCACAACTTAGAAACGTTTCCTCGATTTGTTGAACAATATTCTGTCTTCTGTGATGCATCTCGACCCGCGCTCACCTTTAGATAAATGCTAATGATGCATATAGTTCGACGGAATATGGCGGCTAGACCATGTTGAGACGATCTCTTTAAGAGTTGCTCTCTCGGTAGAACGTGTACATTGACCGTTGAGTCCTCTGTGGCCGTCAATCAATATATCGATTGTGTAAAACGCGTAGTTGTGTTAATGTCACGTGGCTAACCTAAAGGGTACATGATATGAACATATACCCAAGGAACGTAATAACGGGAATTTAAATCGGTTCAAGTCGGATTAGCACTGACAACAGAATTAGAGGATATACGATATATACACCTTGTATTATACACAGCGAGATTTATATTTAATCCGTCTGTGACACAGTGTGTGGGCTTAAACTCTCAACAACCTACGTTCAAGACAAACCCTTATAAGTGCTTGTTCTGTATTTATAAACCATAGTTCTTGTCCGGTGTGTCGGTTTTGTTAAGTATTTGTTTTATAGTGTCTATGGTGAATGTGAGGAACACATATTACATACTTATCAATTGTCGAAATTTGTCGAGGTTAATACGTTGTTATATGAACCTTAAAGAAGGATATTACTAAGGCTGTAGTCCGAGATTAATACGTTACTATACATTGTATGAACCTGAGACATGTACATATATACAGTGATATCGATTGTGAACGCAGTCCGAGGTTAATACGTTGCTATATGGCCCTGATACAGTGATATTGATTGAGAACGCAGTCCGAGGTTAATACGTTGGGGTATGGACCTGATACAGAGATATTGGTTGAGAACGAAGTCCGAGGTTAATACTTTGTTATATGAACCTTAAAGAAGGATATTGCTAAGGCTGTAGTCCGAGATTAATTCGTTACTATACATTGTATGAACCTGAGAGATGTACATATATACAGTGATATCGATTGTGAACGCAGTCCGAGGGTAATACGTTGTTATATGAACCTTAAAGAAGGATATTGCTAAGGCTGTAGTCCGAGATTAATACGTTACTATACATTGTATGAACCTGAGAGATGTACATATATACAGTGATATCGATTGTGAACGCAGCCCGAGGTTAATACGTTGTTATATGAACCTGATACAGTGATATTGGTTGAGAACGCAGTCCGAGGTCAATACGTTGCTATATAGCCCTGATACAGTGATATTGATTGAGAACGCAGTCCGAGGTTAATACGTTGTTATATGAACCTGATACCGTGATATTGATTGAGAACGCAGTACGAGGTTAATACGTTGTTATATGAACCTGATACCGTGATATTTATTGAGAACGCAGTCCGAGGTTAACACGTTGTTATATGAACCTGATACCGTGCTCTTGATTGAGAACGCAGTCCGAGGATAATACGTTGCTACATGTATATGGCCCTGAGACAGAGATATTGATTGAGAACGCAGTCCGAGGATAATACGTTGTTATATGGACCTGTTACTGTGATATTAATTGAGAACGCAGTCCGAGGTTAACACGTTGTTATATGAACCTGATACCGTGCTCTTGATTGAGAACGCAGTCCGAGGATAATACGTTGTTATATGGACCTGATACAGTGATATTAATTGAGAACGCAGTCCGAGGTTGTTACGTTGTTATATGAACCTGATAGATTGGTATCGATTGAGAACGAAGTCCTATAGGTTAATATGTTGTTATAAATATGGACCCTGAGAGAGTAATATCGACCTTTGACGCAATTTCCAAGACCAAAGTCCTTATAATTTATATTACATATCATGTCATTAGGTAATGTGAAATGTGTAATACAGGGTGTATCACAGGGATTATGATAGTATGATTCTTATTACAACATGAACTTTTCAGAGATTAAACAAAATAATATACGAAACAAAAGATATAAAGTTCCTTTTTTTTGTTAATATTTTTATCCCTTTTGGTATGTTTTAATGTTCCCGTTTACATGTCAACATTAAAATTTGTCACTTTTGGATATTCACATTTACAGTGAACGAAATGTCCTTATCTAAATTAGAAACATGAGGTCGATATAGTCACGTGCAAGACAAAATTAGAATCATGTGGTCGATATACTATATACATATGTATCAGCGGTCCCGAGATCAAGGATAAATCAATAAGAATCAAGGAAACAAGAACGTATGTAATATATGTCAAACAAATGTAAATATATAGATATACTTATTACTATTGATAAATTATGCATGTATCTTCTGTGTTAATGAAGTAAACAATAACTTAGCGCACATTTAATTACAAAAATAAATAAAAAACAAAAGATACGTAAAATAAATCAACAACAACAATAAGTAAAAACACTTTTCTTGAAGTTTACACTGATCTCCAATTTTTTTTGTGGTCACGTTATCAGATTGCCATGTTAACATTATTAATCGTGTTAGTGAATCAAGGACGTTTGTCAGGTCGGAGTGGTCTCCCTTGTGCATGACTATATACAAAGCGTCTCCCCAGTATCGTTACTGCTTTGATAAATCACTTCTAACAGGAACGCCATACCTGGTTGAACCCGTCTATATATAATAGATAGGAATGCACATACAAAAATTCATCCTAATTATATAAGATTTCTTAATTACAATTAAAGATATCTTTTATAAAATTACATACTTCTTCTTCAACACATCCAGAGGAAATCTATATTACATTTGAAGATACATGTATCTCTATTCCAATAAGAAATACAATGTATCTATTTTTGGTTAATACAAATATTCTTGAATCATTTAAAGATTATGTAATAAAAGTATCTTTACACGAATCAGATCTTGAAATATGACAGAAATATATCTCATTCAAACAGACATTTTTTTTAAATCTGTGTTTGAAAGATTTCATTAATTCAATTACAGATATCGTTATGCTATTTAAAGATATTTCTATTTTTTTTAAGATACATATATATACATTATGTAAGAAAAAAAACTTAAAATTTAGAAATAATATTTGCTCCTACAACAAAGTAGGGACGTGACTATTTCGAGATTACCATTGTGTATTATGCCTGAATTTACTTAAGTCAGAGACGTATATACTACTGGCTTTATATGTCTCTGCTTAAGTTGTCCGAAATAAAAATAAAATAAAAAAAATAACTTCACATTTAAGTTTGAGTATGTCCCTGGTGGGCTATTAAGATAATCCTAACCAATACCGGTAACGGTATCATTTGATTAACTGTACAACCAAACAGGGTCATTTAAAGTGGCTAGGAACGTTTTAAAGAATATTCTAAACGCATTCGTAGTAGTAGTGATCAGTCTGTGTACTGATGTACATTGCAAATAGCAGCTGCTGTTGAAACTCTGCATAGAGCGGATAAACATGTACATATAGAAGGGTATTGTCACACCAAATAACAATATACAGGTATATTGCCCACCGGTCTTTGGTATGAATTCCAGCCGTTTCCTTCCGCTTACATGATCAAATAATTAAATATCAAATGCTAAACACTTCATATAACACCACTTGGCTAGAGCCGTTAGGCAAAGAGCACTATACAGATCTCAGTCAAGGGCCATTATAGACTTTCAAATATACATACATCAACCCCCATATCGGAAACACTCTTTTCTTATCTCTTTTCTGCAGTGTCTCGCTAGACTCTCGTCTCCATGTGTCCCGCATTGCGAGATTGTATAGTTTTTAATCATAAATGTCAGAGACGTATATATTGTGTAATACATCTGGATATTTTGTTAGTAAACACACGATCAGGGGTCGCGGTGTGGGGCCAACGGGGGGCGCCAGGTAAAGGCCGCAGCTCGGGTTTTTTTCTACGGTTTTTCTACCAAAAATCTGACATGTCATCATATGACCATAGCTAAAGAATGTAAGAAACATACAAACGAACCAAACTGATTTGGTAAATTAATAACATCATAATATGCTGATGTACAACAAAAATGTATACGGGTAAAGGGAGGTTACTCGTACTACATGTATGATTAACCTACTTCTTGTTCCTGATTAATTTTTGTTTGAGCTACAGGTCATAGGTCATACGAGGTAAAACAAAAGTAAAAACATAGTAGAGAGAGGAGAAAAGAAAGGACATGTACCAACACTGTTGCAATGGGGCCTCTAACAATAACATGTAATGGGAAAGAAAGGTCTACTACTTCTTCGACCTTGTAGTTGTTACTGAAGGGTTCAATATACTAGCTACTGTAACGTAAAACTGTTTAATACGACTACTAAATTGAAACGCCGATTATTGTAGGAGTAGCCCCGTTCATTGAGTAATTAATCAAGAGGATATGAAGGTTTATGAAATCTGTTCCGTAATCGGAAAGCCGAGAAAGCGAGATGGCATTTTCAAATTGTCCTAAAATTGCCACATCATCCATGGACACAGTCTTCATATAATTCCAACAAAAAAACACACGTTTGGCATAAAGGTTTGTAAGCGTTGATTACTTATATATTGTACTTGATGTTTATCCTCGCGTTCATTAATGCTTAATATCGATTATGAATTCAAATTCATATATCAAGTAAATACATTTCTAGAATATACGTGAGTAATACACGTTAAATGAACCTCAATTCATGTTTTTCGGGAATATGTGTACGGAAATGTCAATTAATTTAATCATATGTTGGTGGAAAATATACAATGTGTAACATATTTTACAATATTGTGTCAATTTCTAGCACTGCATGATCCCACTGAACGTAGTAAGAGGCGTCCAATGTGCCCCTGCATAGTTTGGGAGTTTTCTTCGTTGTATTCTATATGAGGGACATACAAGAAACCAATATTGATCTGCTGCCCCAATTTCAACACAGAGAAATTATTTCTCTTCTTTTTCTCACTTCCCTACTCTATCGTTCCGGTTTTCGGTGATGGCCCCTAGGTATCCGTCTTCATATATAAGCTGTTCCGAGAATGAAATTTTTACCATTATTACGTTTATAACGGTCCACAAACACAGGAGAGGTTATTTGGGCAAATAAATGGCCGATAAAATCAAATGTAAAACCCCTAACGAACAAACAAAAAACTAATACATACAAGAAACCGCAGGAGAATGACTAAGTGTAAAAAAAACGCAAGTCGAATTCGAAATTGATAAAACTAGGGAAATAAAATTAAGAAATGAAAAGTTACATGAGGACTCTTTAAAAAGTTCACGGATAATAAGACCAGGTGCCCAAGAGGGTAACGAGATACATGTACGACAAAATATCAATATCAATTTGCTGTTAAAATAGCTTTATTTAATAGAAACAGGATAGGCATGAAAGTTAATAGTTCAAAACGATCACACTATTAATAAAAGCTTAAATCCAAATTTAACTATTAACGTTCATTTATATAAATCCTTTATAATGCATCGATTTAATTTTTAACGCCTTGATTGCATTTTGTAGCTACCGGTTCATCGGCCAAAAAAGGTTGTTTGCAGCCATGAAACGGTAAACGGATAATAAAATAGAAGGGAACATCAACCTTACTTCACTGAAAATACGAGAAATCTTTCAAATTATTGAAATTATTAATTTTAGAGTCCATAGTTTATTTTTACATGCAAACAGTCTGTGCTTTTTAAAACAAAACACAACTTCAGGGAAGTTAATTGCTATGATGCTAATAGGGGATGTACACATACAGGCAATGGGGCATACAGTACACATACAGGCACACAGGACACATACAGGCAATGAGGCATACAGTACACATACAGGCAATGGGGCATACAGTACACATACAGGCACACAGGACACATACAGACATACAGTACACATACAGGCACACATGACACATACAGGCAATGGGGCATACAGTACACATACATGCACACAGGACACATACAGGCAATGGGGCATACAGTACACATACAGGCAATGGGGCATACAGTACACGTACATGCACACAGGACACATACAGGCAATGGGGCATACAGTACACATACATGCACACAGGACACATACAGGCAATGGGGTATACAGTACACATACAGGCACACAGGACACATACAAGCAATGGGGCATACAGTAAACATACAGGCAATGGGGCATACAGTACACATACAGGCACACAGGACACATACAGGCATACAGGACACATACAGGCACACAGGACACATACAGGCAATGGGGCATACAGCACAAATACAGGCAATTGGGCACACAGGACACATACAGGCACACAGGACACATACAGGCATACAGTACACATGGAGGCACGTCGTGTAATGGCCTAAGCTGCTAATAGGACGTTAAGTCCTATAAAACCTAACCAAACCAAACCGTATGAAAATATTTACATAAAAATATAAATCCCTTGAATGTAGCAGGAATAAACATCGGCTATCATGTACAGCAGTTTATTTTATCGATTTATCATTAAATCATAATCTGCTGAAAAATTCTGTGTGATTCAGTTAAAAGAAAAAAATGTATATATTGAGTCTTGTAATTGTCGGTAAGTTGATATCTGTTTAGGTCACTGGACAAGTATACCGAACTGTTCATTCATAAATACGACCAACATTTGATGGAAGTCATCATATGACGGACCCGCATGTGGTACAGGATATACAACCCATCCCCTCCCCCCCCCCCCCCCCCCCTTCTTGGTCCTGCTCCGTTTCATTTATTTTAATTACTTCTTATGTAGCAATTTACGATGTCGTTTTTTTGTTTTTGTTTTCATCGGTTCCTCTCTCTAGTTCCAATGTTACATGACCTATAAATCATATTTCATTTTACTTTTGTGCGATGTCATTAAAATACATTAGTGTACATATAGTAATATTTCCTAATTCTTTACCAAGCAGTACCCGGGAACGGTATTATTACAACATACTTTACGGTCAATCAACGCAGAAAAGGTTCCTAGGACCTGCACATATTCTAGAAAAAAAAATAGTGAAAGGAAAAGATATCAAACAAACGAAAAAGTAAAAGACAAATGTCAATGTGAATATCACAATTGGCTATGGTTAGTGATATCTTTAGAAACAGTAGTGTACATGCAACGCTACAAGGAAGTATGTCTCATTGAGCGTATTTAAAAATACACTTATCAACATATTTGCGTGGCATGTTTACGACGTTCTGATAAGGGTTATCTCAATCAGTGTAGCACGTGATCGTAAATATGTACATGTATGTATGAGAAGGACGCGACCAGGAAGTAAACAGTCGATCTGGACGTAAACAACAATGACGAGGACTCATAGACGTAAACAACCATGACGAGGACTCCTGGATTTAACAACCGTATGAAGACTTCTGCATGATAAGGTACATATATTAAATATGTAATCTTTGTTCTGCTTAGTATTATGATGCTTACAGGTTTTTCACAAATAGACTGTACCCTTACATAGTTGTTAATATTTGTACTTTTGTTTTGCGTTACTTTAACCTTACTTCCCTATCAAATGATGGTACTTCCTGGTCAATTGGATAACTAGATTCGTTACAGTAGTTTGTAAAACTACCATACATCTGATGAACGTAGTGTTATTTGATGACTGGAAGTCGATCAGTATATTCAATCTTAAAATGAGTATGTAAAATACCGAATATACTACATTGTATCCTATACGTCCCAATATTGACCACCAGTAATGACCATCACTTTCATTTGATAATTCAGCTCTGATAATGGGATTTTGGGTTGTAACATAATAGTAGGGCTCTGTTATTGGGCGGCTGTTCAGCTACAACTATGAGTTGTCTCTTTATATTTTTGTTCGTTGGAAAAGGCCTGTTGATTACTTTAATAATGTTTCTGCAAGATTGTTTGTTTCGAGAAATAAGGACACTAATCTCGGGTACAAAAACAATACAACAATTTAGGACCCTTGAATATGCGTTTTACTTCGGTCTAGTCAACGTGCGCACACCGTCCTTTATACTTCTTATCAGTAATCGCCAATAGGCGTGTTGTTCCGGCTATTATTTATCACTTTCGTTTGCGTTTTCCTATACACATACAGATTTATCCCTCTTTTACAGTAAAAGTATTCAAAATGACAGAGTCGAAAACATTGATGGACAGTAAGCGTACAGCTGCGATAAAAAGGTACGCGATGGCCATATTTATATAAATAATCAAAGACAGTAGAAAATCTTTTATATGCATACACATGTGTCAGGAAAAGTATTTTTAATAGCTTACAAATATGTCAAAATGTCAGTCAGGTGAATTGTTGTTTCGCGAAAGATATATATCTATTGTATGGTAAAAATAGTTTAAATTAACCCATCGGAGCATAGAAATACTGTAAAATGTTGTGTTTCACATAGTATCGAATTTCATTTCATCAAACGCCATTTTTATAAAGAAATCTTTCAGAAGTCGCAAATACCTTACACAAGCACGTGGTAAGGATTGGTGGGGATCCTCCATCCCCACAAAACGAAACTGGTAACCTTGGAGATTCTGGAAGTGACCTTGATCAAATTGAGCAGCTATGCAGTAGCGTTATGACACTGTGCACCTTTGTTGAGAGTGTGTCCACATCACAACATGACAGGTAAACGTAGTACAGGTATTACGTATATGCTCCGATTTAACACCTATTGTGACGTATACAACGTGAATTAAATTCATATTATTTTTATTACATTCTTAACTTTCAATCAACTCAGAAAAAAGTCAGAACCAATGTTCATATATTGCTCTGTACGACTATCCCAATCAACAAAGAATAGGTCGTCTACAATACGTATCTTCAGTACTTCCTTCCTCAAAAAAGATTGATACGACGAGTAACATGTACATGTATATAGAAAATGTTGCTACGGTTTTCCAAGGGAAAGGCTTCAATTCTCGGTAAAGAACTTTAATTATATCCTTTCAGTCCACGTCCAGATGTTTGATCGATTCGCATTTTGATTTTAAACAAGATTATACAGATACCCTTTATTTTAACAGTGACCAGGAAGTAAATTGTACAATGCAGTCCTATCTGTACCATAACATCACGCTACCACAATTGGTACAATTTTGACACCTTTTCAATGATATTTAAAACTTCAGATCTTGTATCTCGAATGTTTCTTGGTTCTTGACAAATACTATCTATGGTGGTTCATTTTCAGAAAAAGGTTTGAGTCTAAGTGTGTTTTTTCCTGAAAATGGAACGCTAAACTCGCAGTGAGGTTTCGTCCGTTTTTCGGCCATAATTAGTTCCCAAATTGGTACACCATAACACAAGCTATGCAACTTGCTTTTATTTTTACTAGATGATGTGCCTATTGCGACAAAATACATTGCTTTTATAAATATCATACTGAACTATAATTGTATGTATTCACTTTCATATTATCCGTATATAATAAAACAGAAATTATCATTAAAAAATGCTTCTAATCAACCCCTTCAAAATCCTCCAAAATTTTGTCGACGTACATTGTTTGTACTGATTTTTCTGATTGGTTTACTTTTAGGTCATCATGTACTCTTAAAATGTTCCTGAAAACAAAACTATTCGATGGAAATGCTGATAAATATATCTTTTGTTATACTGTACTGTGAGCGGTAAATGCTCAAATTTAATTTTAAAATACTATTCGAACCATTTTCTGACTCGTGTACCAATTTGGTTAGTGCACCAATTGTGGAAGCGTGACGTTACGCATCAGATCAATTATAGAATTGAATCATACTATTTTATTGATTTGCTAAGAAAATGTACTTTTATTTCACAGAATGAAAAAAGAACGTTTAGAGTTGTTGAAAATTAACATGGAGCGCACACAAGAGATTGCAGATTTAGATCAGATCATAAATGGTGACCCCAAAAAAGAACATGCTCACGAAACAATAAAAAGGTTGAGAAAAAGGTGTGATGATTTACAAAAGACTTCGACAAAGGAAATTGAAAGATTAACAAATTCTCTAGCGAAGGTTACTGCTGAAAAAGACTATTGGATTAACAGGTGAGAAACACGTGATACATTTTAATTTAGATCTTCTGAAAAACATATATACCACTCACATTTTGCTAAGGATCACTTTTATTTTTGGGCATATTTGAAAAAACAAATATTTTGTTTGGTTAATACTGAGATTATTTTTAAAAAACATTATTGTTCTTTAATTACAGTCGGAAAATGAGCCACATAAAAAGGGTTACCCTTAAAATAGATTACAACTAGGTATTCATTAAAAAACTTGAATTGAACAAATCTCATCCTTAATAAACAGAAACTGTTTTAGTATCGAGTGTGACGCCCATGAGTATCGGTTACAGCGTCACAACGTCTGCGCATGCCCCGAATTAGATCGCGTGTCTGGGTTTGTGGGATATCGTTCCAGTCGGCTACAAAAGCTGCTCTCAGCTCCTGGAGCGTTCTTGGCTGAACATTTCTGACAGAGAGTGCTGTCTGCAGCATGTCCCACATATGCTCGATGGGATTTAGATCCGGCGAGCGGGCTGGCAAATCCATTCGTTGAATAGTCTCTTGCTGTAGATACTGCTCAGGCACCCTCGCTCTATGTGGCCTAGCAATATCGTCCATAAGGATAAAGTCAGGGCCGATGGCGCAGGGTAGGGTCTGACATAGGCATTAAAGATTTCATCGCAGTAAATCCGGGCCGTAACGGTACCATTATGAAAGACATGAAGGTCAGTTTTCCCATGAAGGCTTATGCCTCCCCACACCACCACTGAACCTCCACCCTATCGGTCATGTTCTACAACGTTACCTGTCTGGAACCTCTCCCCGTGTTGTCTCCATACTCTAACGCGCCTGTTGGTAAAGTCGAGACAGAATCTGGACTCGTCAGCAAAAATAACCGATTCCCATTTCTGAAGAGTCCAAGTGCTGGCGAGCAGTTACGGGAACTCGTATTACGGGTCTACGTGACTTTAAACCAGCATCATAAAGACGTGTATATCATTTAAGGCCTGCGAGGCTATCATAATGATTTTCCAAATTTAAATAGCTCGCCGCACGAGGTTCTTGTGTTGGAATGTAAGGTTATAATAAAGTAAGTTTGTGCCACTCATTTGCATGAACGGTGGATGATTGCGTAATGGAATTTATGTATTTATTACATTTGAGGAAATCAACTCGTAACCATTGGATGTTTGTAATCCTTGTAAAACAAATCAAAAATTCTAGATTTACGCATTTACGTAATATTTGTCTTTCTATTTAACTTCTTCAAGAATGAGCAGCATGGCTGGCAAGAAATTGAGAGACAATAACCCAGAGGTGATTGATCTGAGTGACCCCAACCGACCCCTAAAGCTGGCGGATAAGTTCTCCGAGCTGTACGATAATCAATGGACTAGCGCCTCAGAACATTTACATACCACTTGCCAAATGTCAGAAGAAACGGCCATACAACATCTCTCTTCGTTAACAAAGGTAATTACAAATGCAAATACATATCTTTAATCTTACTTTTTTATGACATTTCGACGTTTCTCATTAGGATTATTTACCTCTCAATTCAAAAACAAACTAATTTATTTTCAATAACCATTAGAGTTATATTTATAATTTATTTATGATGTAATAAAGTATAAGTTTGTCTAGCGGTCACCCGAGTATACCGACAGTTTGTTAAGTATAACCTACTCAGCCAGCAACTGCTGAGCAACATCGGTGTAAAGTCAAATAGGCTAGTCATAGAACGATCTCATTTGATATACACACTTATATACAACACACGAAGTCGACCTTATAATTACGAAACAATTATTTCCAAGTAACACAAGACGAATGCTTTTTACAAACACATCGTTGATCATATAATAGGAGTGTTACAGCTCTTGCTATGAGAAGGCCAGACGACAGCTACAGTATCTTCATAAGATAGTCTTGACTGGGACTTGGGAAGATGACATCGAGGCTTGTGATTCAAAACCAGACAGTGATAAGGCACCTCCTGTACCTCAGGTAAATGTTGGTAATACGCTCTTATGTTATGCTATCATAAGAGAGCTACAGAAAGTAACTAAGATTGTCAGGCTCAACGACTGGGTTAGACTGATGCTTTTTCTTATCTAAAGAGGTACATGTTCACATTTCCTAAAGCACAGTGTTACCGAAACAAAATGTTAAAAAAAATCAAACTATGTTCATATTACTAATCAGAGTTATAATTTACTGCGAGATGAACATAGTTGTTTTGGGAATCACCAGCTTTTGTATCTTAGATTAGATATCTATTACATATTGTTTAACAGCTGACGTTTAATTCCACGCTTGGAGTCAAAATATGCTGAGAACGCCGACGATAAAATGATCAATCAATTGTATATTAAAGGAAATAACGGCTTGTTCATAAAATTCATTGAAAAAGTAAACCCTTCTGTCCTGCTTAATTTTGATAGAAAAAGTAACAGTGATAAATTATTGATATTTCAGAAAAGCTCTTCTGCCGCAGGAATGAAGACGTTGAAAGATACAAGAAACGAATTTGCTCATATAGCAAAAGAGCGTGTTATCAAGGTATTTGTTTTGGTTATTTGTTAAAATTATGGAATAACAATGTATATTGCATCATTTCTGACGTTTTGGGTTTTACTCTCTCGGATTTATTATCCTGTATAGCAGTAATAAATATAATCCGCGAAAGTTTGATAAGGGAAATATTTCTTAAACGGTTGGTTTCGGGCTGCATGTTTTTTTGTGAGCATTGCGTAAAAAATGACTTGTATTCATTGCAATCGCATGCGGGACATAATAACTGACTTTGAGGTAGACGAATCGTTCATGTCAGATCATTTCGGATCGCTTCTTGGGAATCCCGACATGGATATAACTTGCCAGTATGAATGGTACATTACTTTCTATAAGATGCACACTAGTGATAATACCTTTAAAATGTGTTGAAATTAAATTGACAATCGCCATAGTAACACAATATATTTTAACTTTTTGCGCCATCTGCGGTAAAGCTCTTAAAAGACACATTTTAAACGTAGAGACATTTTTCTCATTGTTTACACAGATGTATATATGTATCTGGAATAGCCGGGACTAGAAAATGAATAATACATATTTTATGCATGTATGTCAACGATATCAATTTTTATTTTTAGCATAAATACACAATGAGTAACATTCACCACATGGTTAAGCCTCAACAACACAAAGCACTGTCTTGTTCCATTTATTGTTAAAGAAACAGCGATAACCTGTCTGCAAATACATGCACTTGATCCCAAATCACTATATACTGACATTGACCATGCAAGTTACACGGCGGGATTTTAAAGTCCCTTCAGGACGATTCCATTATATAAAAGGGTATTTTTTATGGTGAACAGCAGTGTAATGCTAACAAAAAACGGCAAATTAACCTAGAGTCAGGTCGCTAGCGCCTGTTCCAACAAAATGAAGCTGATTTGTTTGTAAAAGTGTGTCTATTTTATCACAGGATCTGCTTCCCGTCCTGATCAAGTCAAGTGGTTCTGAACTTGAGGTGACCAGCATGACGCAGTACCTCTCGGAGTGTATTTCCCTGTGTTGGAGTATGGTGGTACAGGACCCTCCTATTGTGCTCCACTGGCCACTTAAGCAAGGAAGTGATATAAACAGGGACATGTTTAATCAGTACACAAAAACGGGAACGAAACTGAACTATGAAGTGTGGCCTGCTCTTCTCTTACACACCAATGGCCCAATTCTCAGAAAAGGGGTAGTTCAACCGTTATAATGTTAAATCCGTCCGCATGTATCAACCGTTGATGGAGTGAAACACAAGATTGCCTCCTTGAATATTACAATGAAAACGCTTTACTAATTAATGTTTAATAAAACGTGTATTTTATTCGTTAAAACTTTCTTATATAGAAACATGTAGTCCGGACCTAATTAAGGATCCCCGTACCGCTGCCAAAAACTGTAACTACACACTGGAAACGGTTTTTGCCGGCATGACAATACTTATGATAAACCATTTTGGAAAAGAAATCCAAACAATGTGCCGTTGTGGGATTTGTAAGAAAAATAACATGGATAAAATGAACAAAATATGGTTAACAATAGTGTTGCGAGTGTAACAACAGCAGCGGGGATAGATTGCGATTCGAACCCTGGATTTAAGATTGTTATGTTATCCCTCTTACCGATTGAGCTACCTGGGCAACGGAACTGTTTTGGTCCAACTGTGCTAGAGTTATTTCCAGACGGAAATCATTGGGACGTTACTGTATGTACGAAATAAGTCAGAGCAATATGACAGATATCCTTAATACGTGTGTTCCTGTCAATATGGAGATGTCCGGAGTCACAAAGGATGTGGAGAAACGTACTTATAAGAAACAATCACCTAAGTTACAAATTCATATGAAGGATTTGATTTTGTTGGATAGCATGCCCTATTAACAGGTTAGGTAATTAAAGGACGTGCCTCCATTTTTGTAATGTATGTATGTGTGTAAGTATGCTGAAAGCAGTATGATGGTGCACTTGGTATGTCATGCTTCCATGTCATAAGTATGGTATTACACACGTATGATTACACCTAAAGGTACTGCGATTGGTCAAACCTTGAGGACATATGCCTACCGCACCACAGGTACTACTTTTATTAACTTAACCACATGATACATTTACTGTTATTCTAAACAATTTGACCTATATAGAGTGAGCTGGTAGCACAATACTGTTTTTGATTTTTTTTTTCAAATTATGAATGTAATGTGACAAATATAATCTTACGTGGGTCGTAATGACATATTGATTTTATAAAACTCGTTTAATATAATATGTTAGGTGAAGGTCAATGCAATCTACCAATAAGTATTGTAATGTAAATGGTTCGTGACATGCATTGAGCATTGAGACTGGTCTTCGCTTTTCAATAATAAAGAATATGTAAAGTATGAAAGACCGATCCAGAGAAACGGGCGGAGGGGGTAACATTATTTTTTATATTTATTTACTGACCCATGACCTTCGTTGAATTTGTTTCCCCTAGAAACTACTTCGAGAGACTTTGTTTTGTTTATTTGAGATTTACTGTCCTCGCGACGGTCGTTTGGAGACGTGTTCCTGCAGATCGATTTTGGTATCTTCCATAAGTTGAAGACAACTATAATTATTATTAATAATGCTTAACGGCCCATCAACACAGGATAGGTAATTAGGGCCAACAAATGGTCGACAAAAACAAATGCAAGGGGTCACTTCCACGATGTCTCATTTAATGTGCTCGCTCTATTAATGAGAGTTATACACAAGGGCGACTGTTGATTCGTGTACCTTTTAACCACGGGGCACACAACAGTCACTGCTTTTATTGCCTTTCATACAGTAAAACGTTACAAATTCTCAGCGCTGATTGATGCATATTTTTTTAATTTTCTAACAAGTTATGTTTATCTTTCAAAAACGTCATGTACACATGTACTAGTAAGTCACTTATTGTATTTTATGTTGAAAAATGTAGTTGTTGCATATTGTGACATTTTAAGCAAAAAATCAGTACCTAGCTGAAATGCAACGGCAGTTAGAAATTGTTGCGTTATTAAAATATTTATGTCGCAATTGTGACCGCAGCGGGTCCTGACAGTCTACCTTAACTGTTCTGTTAATTTACGATATCGAAATAAGTACTGTAATAGGTTCTCATATACAATTTCCGTTTTGGTTACATGGTTTGGTTTGATTTAATTTAGTTTAACGTCCTATTAGGAGCTTGGGTCATTTAAGGATGCAGGAGACAGGGTATGTCGGTGGTTACATGGCAAACAGAGTGAAGGTGTACTGATGGTTAATGTCATAACGTCAATTGTGTAATAAACCATAATTACGGTTATTAACGGAAACACAAAATTCCGGAATCGAGGATGGTTATCCCCCCTCGGGCAATAGCCATCTGTTTCCGGTTGTGCAGACATGATCACAATTGAATCAACGCATCAAGATTGTCGCAGCACATTAAGTATTTGAAAACGCTTTTAAAGTAAAATATTCATAAACCCACCCATCCCCAACCTGGAACAATGACAATCAACTGTTTCCGTAAGAAAAAGGGTATTCGTGCTACATATTTCGCAGATAAGTTATTTTAAGCAGGTTTCAAGTTATTTGATGTAGCTGGCAAGTATTATCTTATACCTCAATTATTGAACTTTTATCATAATTTACGGGAGAGCTGTTTTCCAGAATCCTGTAGGATATAATTTAGTGCTAGGTTTCTATTTGACAGTATTATGGACATTTCATTTACTGTGATTTATATATGAACATTGATCTGTGTTATTGTAAATTGAATACATGTGTAGCTTGATATTTGATAGCTGATTTTGAATTTGCTTGATAATTAACAGGGAGCTGATACCCAGAAACTGTTAATTATTGATTAACGGGAAGTTGGTCACCCTAAAAATGTTAATCTATTGATTCGCACAATAAGCAATGGTTTGTTGATTGTGGTCTGTCAAAATACACCCATATTGGCTTATTGGGTCGACGGCCGTTTAGAAAGTTGTGACCAATACATCCAATCAAACTTATTACTTGTGTTTGTTATGTGTGTATCTTTAGGAATTACTAATATTTGTGGTGTTTTTGTTTTACCATCTACATTTTACTCCCATAATATCTTACAGTTATGGGACCGCACAACGCACCAAAAAAAGCGGGCGCACACCGTGCATACATCGTTCACACACCGTCCGCACATCGTCAACACATGGTGCGCACAACTGTGCGATTTAGCAATCGTTTGCCCCGTTGTGCGCTTCTCTCCGCACAACTGTCCGATTTGGTATCATTTGTAGATCAAAATTACGGAATGACAAAAATACGGAAGGCTTGTATGCGATAATGTACACTGTGTATATATCTGTAATTTCTCATCACAATAATCAAGATTATACAATTTCACAATGCGTGTTACACAGTATTACAGCGACCGTTAGGCTGTCAAGAATGAGTTTGGCTCCAAGGTAACAGAACAGGTAAATACCAATTTGATGAGTGTCCGGAGTTTTACCTGACCAGTGCCTGACACACAGAGCTGATATGCGATACCGTTTGACCGTAATAAATAGTATTTGTTATTTGCATTCGTTTGCCTATAGCTCCCCTTCACCTGGATTTTCACACCCCCGGCCTTACCCAACGAGTTACGTAAGTGCCCCAGGCGGGGAGAAAACTACGGTCCAGGTACATGTACAAAGTGGTTATGTTTACCTGTATACGGAATTGTGTTGTAATTTTACATGTGTCGATTAAGTTTGTTTAAAATCACAGAAAACACAATTTCTAAATATAAGAATATATAGACAGACAGATAAGTTTATAGATGTTGCTAGAATATAGAAACATACGTAAACATCAAGTTTATATGTTTAAACATGAAACCGTATAAATTGTGAAGGCATTCCTCAATTTACACCAACCACGATTGTTATAGCACAACGTCCGTCCATCGTGCGCACAGATGTGCGCAAGCAATGATCGTTCAGCTTTTTATCGTTCGCCGATCGTGCACACACCGTTCACACACCGTGCAAACATCATGCGCACACCGCACATCGTGTAACGTTGTGCGATCCCACAACTGTACATTCAGGTTTTGCTAACTAAACAATGAGATCCAATAAGATCAATGTCATGCCATCATTGACGGGAAAATATTAATGCTTATGTTTGTATTGACAATTATAATGCAATCTGCATATGCTTTCACTGTACACTTTACTTTGATTTTACTCGTTCCGAATAACTTGAACATACTTCAGCTCGACATGGGATAAAAGTTCTGCAAATAAACCGCAAAAAGTGACATCTTCATTTATGTTCTTGCTGTACATACTATTTATTATCTGAAACATACTTAAATATCAAACAGCATGACCACATGGAACCAAAATTCTGGAAACTGTACGCATTATTCTATTAGAAACATGTCTTGTGTTTTTGGGACATGAGACCTTTCCACACATAACTACATTACAAATGGATGCATCTCTGTATATTCTGCATACAACTCATTATCACAGTATAATGTTTAAATCATTCGAATAGATTTACGAAAAAAGATTCCTACTTTTGGATAATTATACCTTTATGAATTATCATGAAAATAGGGAGGGGTACATGTAGTTGCGGCCAAATGAGAAGCCATTTACCTGCCATTTAAGCCAACATGTTTTGTGAATGAGAATCATATGCAAGCACAAGAATGAATGATGTTGTCCTGCATCTAGTACGGTATAAAAAGTGCAGTGAAATTAATCACATAATGTACTGTGTTATCCAGTGAATATACCCATGTCATATTGGTTTGCGTATTACCCTATGTAATATGACTTGATAGCCCTGTGATTGGTTGTAAATTTCAATTGTTGCAATTGTGACGTCTCGCCTAGGACAAGTACATGACGTCACATACTTATGCACTGGAGTCAAATTGGTGGCTTTTTACATTTCAAGTTGGATACAAATTGTCGTTTTACACGAATAAATGCTACAAATCTTGATTATGTGATAAAAAGGATCTTACACTCGTTTTCATTTCATATGAAAATTATGAAACTCGTCACGAAGTTTTCATTTTAGCTCCACAGAGGCTCGCTAAATTAAAAAAATGTTAGACTCGTTTAATAAATTTCATACGAAATGGAAACCCATGTAAGATCCTATATCAAAGAAAATTCTTTAGCCATTCGCTAGGAAATTTGTCATTTTATTTATGAAATTATACTATGTTAATTCATTTGATGTACATGTATGCAATTAGACGCATACTGTACTAACAGTACATACTTGTCGCCCTTTCCAAGCCATGTTTGATTCATGTTATATTAATATACATCAAATTCCCGCTTTCATTATCAACTTTTAGGCACTTTACATATACCTTTACCTAAATACAAGGTATGACGTCATTAATAATAGGGATAATGTATATCAAGAAGTCATAAACAGAGGGAGAGAGATTTATTATGATAATAGTCTATTCAATTTTGGATAATTGCCTTATAAGAATACTTTTCCTTTTCTTTTCTTTCAATAGCATGTTCTGAACATATATAAAATGGAAAGATAGTAAATATATTTTCACTACAAGTGTCTAAATGTTAACTCAGTTTCATTTTCCTTGCACGGACACTGTCTCCTAATGTGTTACTTGTTTCTCAAACATAACATTCTTTACATTCCGGAGATGTTATGGCATATATTTGTTACATTATTTTATTTGAGTCACAAGACATACTCGAGATTATAACGAATGATTTTATTTTATTTTGTTTTACGTCCTATTAACAGCGTTTTTTTTAACGAAATTTGTTTGTGCAAACGTGTAGAAATTTCCTTCCGTGATATATTCATATGTGCCGCATCGCGTCTATCTTTGAGACTATTTGCACCGATTTTTTTTTTTTCAAAAAGTCTCTTCAGGGTTTTCAATATATGTTTATTGTTGATAAATTATTGTTTTCTAACACTGTCTTCGTATGTCTTAATTCCTTGGTTAACTCGGTGATTTACAGTTACTTAAATATTCATATTTCGTGGGTAATATGTTGTACATTTAACAAATGGTATGATAAACGCATCTGATTGTACGTAGATCTATAAGTAAAGCGGCTGAAGATGTATATTGAAAGCGCTAATGCTAATTCAGATCTACGTATTTCTGATTTAAAAAAACAACTATATATGCTTTACTGTTATTCGGCAATTTAAAAACTTTCTGGAACCTACATTCCAGTTAATAAACGACAGTCACACAAATCAAGAAAATGATTTTACGTTAAACTTAAAAGCACTGATGGCAACCAAATTGGTTATATCATGTATAATACATAAAAATAAATAAATAATAAACATATAAACACATTCTATAGTAAAATTCAACCTCACTTGCAACCAACCAAGACCATTTCATACTCCACCTGGGTTGTTGGAGTTGTGTTGGCGGGAGCAAAAATACTTTCTCTGAAGATCCTTTTGTACGACGACATCGGTGAACGAACCACGACCGCCTGCGTGGAAGGCCAGAGTGTTAACCACTTGACCAATCCGCCCATATAAGGGAACTTCGAACGTACTTTACTGAAAAAATGAGAACAGAATTCCTAAATTTCAACATTTTCAGAGTCCATAGTTTATTTTTATATGCAAACAGTCTGCTTTCTCACACAAAACACAACTACATCGTAGATGTGTATGATGCTAATATGGGCTGCACACATGTAATTACATAAACATGCCCTGTCTACAGCACACATACACATATGCAGACACTACACATTCATACACGTCCTTAACTATCTTAAGCTGTTAATCAAAACAAAACAAAACCGTATGAAAACATTTACATAAAATTTAATTCCCTTGAATGTAGTAGGAAACAACATCGAATATCATGTACAGCTGTTTAATGTATCGATTTATCATGATATCTTGTTCTGTTGAAAAAATCTGTGTGATTAGTCAAAATAATAAATAAAAATATTGAGTCTTGTATTTGTCAGTAAGTTGATACGGACTAAATAAGACCAACAATGGATGGATGACATTATATGACGGGTGCATTATATGATCCAGGAAATGCTATCCCTTCCTGGATCCTGCTCCGCTTTTCTTTTCTATTATTAAGCAATCCGCGATGTCTCTCATTTTCTACTGATGTTTCATAGGTTCCTCTCTTTAGTTCCAATGTTTGACTTGCTGTGGTAATTTATCGATACATGACCTATAAATCATATTTCATTTTACTTTTGTGTGATGTCATTAAAATACTTTATTATACATGTAGAAGTATTTCTAATTCTTACCCAAGCAGTACCCGGGAACGGTATTATTACAACATACTTAATGGTCAATCAACCCAGAAGAGGTCCCTATGACCTTCACATGTACCACCATACATGTACCTTGTCTCCTACATACACACACACACAAGCACGCATACACTAAACACATGGAGGCACGCCCTTCAATGACCTTAACTGTCAATAGGACGTTAAACAAAATTAAACAGTTAAACCAAACAAAACCATAAAAAACTAGTGAAAGGAAAGATATGAATCAAACGAAAAGTAAAAGACAAATGTCAATGTGAATATCAAAATTGGCTAAGGTAAGTGATATCTTTAAAACACTAGTGTACATGTAATGCTTGTATGACTCTTTGAGCGTATTTAAAAAACACATTTATCAACAAATGTGTGTTGTCTGATTACGACGTTCTGGTAAGGGTTATCTAAATTGCACAGGATATAATTGTAGCACGTGACCGTAAAGATGTATGTACGACACAGATGCGACAAGGAAGTAAACAGTCGCGACCTTGACGTAAACAACCATGACGAGGACTCCTGGACTTAACAATCGTATGGAGACTTCTGCATGATAAGGTACATATAATAAATATGTAATCTTTGTTCTGAATAGTATTATGATGCTCACAGGTTTTTTTCACACATAGACTGTATCCTTATATAGTTGTCGATATTTGTACTTTCGATTTGCGTTACTTTAACATTATTTCCTTATTACATTATAGTACCTCCTGGTCAATTGGACAGTAGTTTGTAAAATTACCATACATTTGTACATGTACGTCTAGATTTATTTGATGTCTGGAAGTCGAGCAATATATTCAATCTTAAAATGAGTATGTAAAATACGTCATATACTATCCTATAGCCCAATATTTACCACCAATAATGTCTATCACTTTCATTTGGTAATTTGATCCAGAAATCAATGAGCTTAATTCGGCTCTGATAATGGTATTTTGTTAGTGTGAAAGGTCCACGTTAAAGTTAGTTTGAATTATCAGTAATTGATGAACAGTCATCAAGGGATTAAATACATTTTTGCAAAGTTTTACATACTGAGGTAATATAATTTGTTCTAGCAGGTGCAATCAAATTCGGGAAAAGTGCAAGCAATATTTATATATATATGTACACTACTGTTTCTAAAGATATCACTTACCTTAGCCAATTTTGATATTCACATTGACATTTGTCTTTTACTTTTTCGTTTGATTCATATCTTTCCTTTCACTAGTTTTATATAGAATGGTTTGGTTTAACTGTTTAAATTTGTTTAACGTCCTATTGACAGTTAAGGTCATAATATATATATATATTGTTTAAGTAGCTGGTCTAATAAGTGGGGATGGGCCACAATACACTCAGTTTGAATGATGAGTAATTAGCACACAGTAGTTAATGGATTCAGTACATTTTTCATGTTTTCACATATCGGCACGCAACATGGCTATTCAGTTACAGTTGTGAGTTGTCTCTTTATAGTCCTGTTCGTTTGGAAAAAAACATTGATTACTTTTATAAGATTTCGTCGAGATCCATTTTGTTTCGAGAAATAAGGACACTAATCCCGGGAACAAAGTTCTTGAAAACAACAAGGTCTAGTCGTCGGGCACACACCGCCCTTGTATAGTGTTCTTCGATCTCGATATATGTCATACAATTTTTGTAGTGCTTGTCAGTTACTATTATTTATCACTTTTGTTTCAACTTTCCTATACACATACCTGTTTTACAGTACAAGTATTGAGAATGACAGAGTCGAAATCATCGATGGACAGTGAGCGTACAGCTGTGATAAAAAGGTACGAAGTTGCCTTTAGTCATATAAGTAATCAAAGACAGTAGAAACTCTTTTTTATGCACACACATATGTCAGGATAAGTATTTTTAATAGCTTAGCAATATGCCAAAAAGTCAATAAGGTGAAATGTTGCATCGCAAAATATGAATTTTATTATAGGGTAAAAAATGATTTTTAAATTAACCCATCGGAGCATAGAAATACTGTAAAATGATGTGGTTCACATTGTATCGGTGTTTTTTTCATCAACCCCATTTTGATAAAGTAATCTTTCAGAAATCTCAAACAATTTGCACAAGCACGTGATAAGCCTTGGTCGGGATCCCCCACCCGGTCATCACGAAACTGGTAACCATGGAGATTCTGCAAGTGACCTTGACGAAATTGAGCAGCTATGCAGCAGAGTCACGACGCTGTGCACCTTTCATGAGAGTTTATCTTCGGCACAATATGGCAGGTAAAACCAATGCAGGCGTTGTTTAAAACTTCAAAATGTCATGAGGTCCAGCTAAACGAAAAGGTAAAGACAAACATCATTTTGAAAGTGAAAGTAGCTCTACTATCTTTTTAAACAGATCAACAGATTTCAGGTGGCTTACACAAGTTGAGATCTCCATTGTTTCGAACGGAGATTTGAGATTTGTTATATTATTTTAAAAAAACCCACCATGTGTTGGCTAAAAGTCGATGAAGTCTTATTACAAATGTTTTATTGTAAACTGTTGGTGACATCTTTCGCAAAGAGGCTGATCTTCACGCTTCAATAAATTAAGAATGAGTAATACATGAATGACCAATCTGGAGACGGACAAGGACAATCTCGTGGTAGCGTCTCTCTCTATTACTGGAAAATCATTCACCGAATTTAGGTTTAACAAATAGTAATTTGTTAAAGTATTTATTTTAATTTCTTTGCAAATTTTACCAAACACATTTGTTATTAATGTGTTTTTTTAGATTGAGTTTTAAATCAACAAGTGGTAGCAATACAACCGTTGTTAGAGGCACAGTGTGCCCACATGTCCGGGACCCCGGGATAATGTAACGTGTCATATTTTTTGGTAACACTAATTAAAACAGTTTTCGCGTTTTTGTTAAGAAAGCTCTGTAGAAGAGAAAATAATTAACATCCTATCAACAGGTAAGGTAATTTAAGGACCTGCCTCAATGTGTGTTGTGCATGTGTTTCGGAAGCAGTGTATGTTGGGTGTTTGCCTCCTAGCGATAGCCCTCTACCTTGGGAAAAAAAGCGAGCAAAATATTTTTTCTGCACTCATTGTAATATTTTGGATCTTTGTATATCTCTCTTTTTCTATCTACCTTTTCTTCTTACTGCCTTTCCCGGCCACACCTCAACTTCAATGTTGAACGTTCGTCCAGGTGAGGAAGGCAATGGGTTCTGTTCTTAAAGCCGGAACACCAAAGTCCTTAACATGGTTGTTTTTATTCCCTATTAAACGTTCAGCTTTTATCGGAATAGCAATAACTGGTTCATCCGTTTTCAGCTTAGTGTGAGTGAGCGGAATGCTGTGCTGGGTGCATTCGGCATTGTGTTTCAGTAAGATAGCAATATAAAGTCGGCATCAGAACCGCGCGATCATAAAAGGACAAACACATCAACACACTCGGCTTCCAGCACAAACACAGGTAAGCACGCATATACGACACGCTTGGAGGCACGTCCAGGGATGTCACCGAAAGAAAAGAGCAAGGAAGAGAGAAAAGAAAAAAAAATATATATGTATATCCAAAGTCTTGCGACTGACACAGCTGAGCAAATTTCTTTTTTTGTTCTCCATTAGCGGAAGATACAGAAGAAACCCCCAGATTCTGCAGGACCCTCACAATAGTCGGCTCCTACGACCTGCAGTGGGATACAGCAGGTAGGTTCTTTCCCCGAACCTACAGGGGTTCCTTGTGTATTTGCGCTAAGGTAAAATTGTTTCCTTTGTATGTGGCCTTGCATATCACTTGACTTTCAGACATGTTTTACTCATTAGTTTTATCATTAATATTTCAACAGTAGCCCTGAGGTGCAATGTATGTGGAAATGGATTCAATGGCTGGAACGAAATATAACTCCACAATCAAAAAATGAAATTCCACCTGATCCAGAGGATATAGGGCCCCCATCAAAAACCACATCAAAAGTACAAAAAACAGGCTGCATTGCGAAAGGGATATGGGGACATAACCAGAGGTAAAATTTAAAACAGAAGTGCAGAAATGATTCAAACTGTATAAGTAGCAGTTCAGACCATTAAGTCATATTTTCACTCGGTTATGCTTTTATTACCCAAGGATAACGTCTAACATGTTTGACCAATATATTTGAATCTTATCTTCATCAACAGAAATAAAAGTCGTCAAATAATTAAAGTAAACAAGATACATCTTTTTAAAAGACAAATGGTAGAATTTAGATGGGTGTGGTTATAAGTCTTGAATAGGTGTGTACCTATGACATTGCTTAAAACATATGTTGAGTCCTATATAAGCCATTTTACGATTTACTGGTGATAAACTGTCCAACGGGATATAACTCGCAGAATTGTACATGCATATAACAAAGTTGTATTAACCTATTTATGTATATGTCGCTGCCTACTCAAATATCGAAAGGAATATCGAATAAATATGTTGATTCGGTGCTCTTCTTGTTTCACCTAGAGATTATTTAATCGTCATATGTGATTGAAAGCAATATCTTGGCATAAGATATTTTCATATATAAAGAGATAAACAAGCATACGAGGCGTGAAACACGGCTCGATTTTGAGATGTAGATACCAAATTTAAGATACTCTAATTGTACAAAATGACAGAAGAATTCAAATATTGTTTTAAATTTAAAGTATTTCAAAACGTAAAGAATTGTGTGAAAGTGTAAGTACCAATACATTTACTATCAATTATAACGTAGCATGTTTACACTTGCTAACATTAGAGTCAAGAGCAATGAAAAATGAAAAATGTATTAACTAAAGCTAATTATGCTTAACAGTTTTTGTTTTTTTTAAATGACCTAAAAAACTGCAAAAAGTGTAAAAATATTTGCAAAAGAAGAACTACTCATCACGCTCTCGATATAGATTTAAATTTACTAGCACACTATTTGACAGAGGTTAAGTATTTTTTCATTGATGCGATATAAAATATAATTTTTATTTCTTAGAATGTTGAATTTAAACATGGAGCAGTCACGTGAAATCAACGATTTAAACACGACAATAAAAATAGATCCGAGGAAAAAAGACGTTCAAGAGACGCTGAAAGGATTGAGAATCAAACAGAACACATTAACAGAGGAAATTGAAAAATTAACTGCTTCTCTATCAAAAGTGACACGTGAAAAAGACTATTGGATAAACAGGTGAGAGATATTTTGAACCTATGATCAGCATATAAACTAATAGGATTGAAACTGCTTTAATCTTTTCGTTTAAGTAGTAATAATGGTGTCTTGCGTTTGTAACGAAAAATATCTTCCTCAATAAACTAAACTGTCTTGAAAAACTAATAATATGTTATTAATATGAAGGAACGGCTTCGAGTGAATAAGCTAATTTAAGTTTACTTGCAGCAAACATTTTCTTTATTAACTATCCTCTGGCAAAAAGTTAACATATGTATGTAATCTACCAGAATGAGCAGCATGGCTGGCAAGAAATTGAGAGACAATAACCCAGAGTTGATTGATCTGAGTGACTCCAACGGACCCCTAAAGCTGGCGGATAAGTTCTCCGAGCTGTACGATAATCAATGGACTAGCGCCTCCGAACATTTACATACCACTTGCCAAATGTCAAACGAAAATGCCATACAACAACTCTCGTCGTTAACAAAGGTAATTACAAATGCAAATTTGACATTTGACGTTTTTCATTAGGATTCTGATGTTATGTTGTGAATAAACACAAATAAATAATGATATTATTATTATTTACTTCTCAATTCGAAAACAAACAGTCGTTTATTTTCAATAACCATGAGAGTTGTATTTATAATTTGTTTATGATTTAATGATATAGTAAAAGTTTGTCTAGCGATGACTTGAATAAGATTTTCAACGTGTTGTCAGTTAGCATCACAAATGATTAGGACGAAACAGCTCAGCTGTATGATGCAGTGGTAATTCAAAAGTAATTTTTAGGTCACCTGGCCATAGGTCATGGTGACCTATTTCCATCCGTCGTCGTCCGTTCCGAATAAGTGTTCTTACTTTTTGTGCCAATTAGAAAATCCAAGATGGTAACCCTGACCTCTCATTGACTGTGATGTTTTTTAATTTTTCTCAAGAAAGGCTACACCGATTGACTTCTCATTTAGTAGGAGTGTTTCTTATAAGGTTTCGACAAAGTTTGTAACTTTTCAGGCTGATTGTAAAATTCCAGATGGCCACCCTGGCCATTGATTGGCTAGGACATTTACAACTTCATCTGTGCATAGTCCATTAAACGTGTCCATTAAACATTTAATCTAATTCATGTATACAGCATGTGCATGCCTGGTATCCAGGTTATTATGGGTGTATCCCCTTTCCCCAAAGTAACTATGTGCCAATTTATAAAAAAAGAACATGCTACCATCTGAGTACTTCAACATTTACTCAGGTGTCCGTTTAGGCCCATGGGCCTCTTGTTGTTGTTTACCATTCGTATAGTTTCTTTTGGGGTATCATATTTATATGCTATTGACTTTGTTCGCTATTTCGGCCGTTAAATACAAGACACGAAATCGACCTTATCATTACGGAACGTAATTAGTACCACGTAACACAAGGCGAATGCTTCTAACAAACACATCGTTGATCATATAATAGGAGTGTTACAGCTCTTGCTATGAGAAGGCCGGACGCCAGCTTCAGTATCTACAGAAGATTGTTTTGACTGGGACTTGGGAAGATGACGTCGATGCTTGTGATTCAAAACCAGACAGTGATAAGGCATCTCCTGTACCTCAGGTAAATGTTGGTGATACGTTCTTATGCTCATATGAACTATCATGATAGTGCTACAAAAAGTAACTAAGATTATCAGGCTCCACGACTAGGTTAGACTGATTCTTTTTCTTATAAAAAAGGTGCATGTTCACATTTCTAAAGCATAGTGTTAGCGAAAACAAATTGTTTAAAAACTCGAATTAAGTTCAAATAATTAATAAGCGCTATAATTTACTGCAAGATGAACAAAATTGTTTTGGGAATCACCAGCTTTTGTGCTTTAGATTATGTATTTATTACATATTATTAAACATCTGGCGTTTAATTCCACGCTTGTACTCAAAATATGCTGTAAACGCCGACGATAAAATAACAAATCAATGGTATATTAAAGGAAAAAACGGCTTGTGCATAAAATACATTTAAAAGTAAACCCGTCTGTCATGCTTAATTTTGAAAGAAGAAGTAACAAAAGTGATAAATTATCAATATTTCAGAGAAGCGCTACTGCCGCCGAAATGAAGACGTTGAAAGATACAAGAAAGGAATTTGCTCATAGAGCAAAAGAACGTGTTATCAACGTATTTGTTTTAGTTATTTGTTGAAATAATATAAAAAAGATGTATATACACGAAGCACTGTCTTGTGCCATTCATTGCTAAAGAAACAGCGATAACCCGTCAGCAAATGCTTGATCCCAAATCACTACTTACTAAAATTGACAATGCAAGTTACGCGGCGAGATTTTAATGTCCCTTCAGGACGATTCCATTATATAAAGGGGCATTTTTGTATGGTGAGCAGCAGTGTTATGCTAAAAAAAACACTGTTTGTAACAGTTTGTCTATTTCATCACAGGATCTGCTGCCCGTCCTGGTGAAGTCAAGTGGTTCTGAACTTGAGGGGACCAGCATGACGGATTACCTCTCGGAGTGTATTTCCCTGTGTTGGAGTATGGTGGTACAGGACCCTCCTATTGTGCTCCACTGGCCACTTGACAAGCAAGGAAGTGATATAGACAGGGACATGTTTAATCTGTACACAAAAACCGGAACGAAACTAAACTATGAAGTGTGGCCTGCTCTTCTCTTACACACCAATGGCCCACTTCTCAGAAAAGGGGTAGTTCAACCGTTATAATATTGTACATCCGTCCGCATGTACCAACCGTTGATATCGTGAAACACAAGATTGTCTTCCCCGAATATTACAATGAAACGCTTTACTAATTAATGTTTAATAGAATGTGTATTGAATTCGTTAAAATTTTCTCATATAGAAACATGTAGTCCCCTTAAGGATCCCTGTACCACTGCCAAAAACTGTTACTACACATTGGAAACTGTTTTTGCCGGAATGACAATAATTGTGATAAAATATTTTGGAAAAGAAATCCAAACCTTGTGGGATTTGTTAGAAAAATAACGAAGATAAAATAAACAAAATGTGATTAACAATAGTGTTGCAAGTGTAACACCAGCAGCGGGGATAGATCGCGATTCAAACACTGGATTTAAGATTGGTATGTTATCTCTCTTACCGATTGAGCTACCTGGGCAACGGAACAAATCATAATGGGACAGTTATCCTTAATTCGTGTGTTCCTGTCAATATGGAGATGTCCGGAGTCACAAAGGATTTGGAGAAACGTACTTATAAGAAACAGTCACTTAAATTATAAATTCAGATTAAGGATTTGGTTTCGTTTGTTGGGTTTAATGTCCTACTTATACAGTTTTGGTAATTTAAGGACGTGCCTCCATTTTTGTAATGTATGCATGTGTGTATCATTGCATGTAAAACTGCTCTTTAATTTTTGCACTGCGCAGAACAAGGATACTTTGATCGGAGTACTTCTCGTTTTGACCGATAAAGAGTGAGCTGGTAGAACAAAACTGTGTTAATTATAAATGTTATGTGACAAATATAATCTTTAATTACATTTTTGCCAGTGAAATATCGGATTCTATCAACTTGATACAACTGATATCTTTCACACTGTGGCAAATATCAAAAGTGAAAATATCACTTTTTGGTATTGACCAATCATAACGGTATCTTCTATTCGCTGCATTCAAAGGTAACGATTTTTTGTTCAGATTCAAATGCTTAAATCATGCCAGAATTAGCAGAAAACGTCGGAATTGCGTTGAGTATCCCATTCAAAATGGCGCGCAGCCTTGTTGTCAAGCGTGACGTCATTATAATATGGCGCCAATTATTACGATTCTGAAATCCGCGCTTATTTAATGGATTATATTTTTCATGTTTTGTGTTTTGAAAATGTAATAGATAGAAAATGTAATGGTGTCTTCAGTAATAACAAATATATTTCACTTGTGTGGCTAATATTTTGATGTTTTTTCACTCGTGGTGCGCATCAGATTAAATTCAGATAACGTTTTCTGTTACAAAGAACGTATACAAATATGTTTCCCTCCTATGGCACATTAACCGATAAATTATTATCGCTATTCTGTGTTACTCGTTATTACTTGTATACGTTTTTCAACGGAAAATCATTAAAACTCCTCCATATGCTTGATAATTTCCCGTTTTACCATTTTTTTTTTTTTTGCATAGGAGTGTGATACACTTCAATTTACACCTGCAAGTTCGGGAAAAGATACGGCCTATTGATCCAACCGCATTGTCAAAACAAAAAATGACAATAAGGGCCAATAAAAGTAGATAAAACATGTGAAAGGAAATAACATAAAAAATACGCAAAGGTAAAAGACAAACGTCAACTTAAAAACATGTAATCTACCAACAAGTGTTGTATTGTGAATGGTTCGTGACATGCTATGCGTTGAGGATGGTCTTTTCTTTTCAATAATGAAGAATTTATCATGAATGAAGACCAATCCAGAGAGAGGAGTGGGAGGGTTAGAGTATTTCATTTATTTATATACTGACCCATGACCTACGTTGAATTTGTACGGACTTGAAATTGCTCAACGGCAATATTTTGTTTATTTTGGATTTACTGTCCTCGCAACGGCCGCTTTGGGAGTTATGACATACGATCGATTTAGGTTTCTTCCATAATGTGAAGAAAACCCCCGATACTGCAGGGACTGCCACATTAGTCGCCTCGTACAATCACATGCGGCGGGATGAGCATGCCCCGTCTTTCTTTGAACCTGCAGGGGTCACTTGCACGATATTTTGCGAAGTCTCTTTTAATGTGCTCTATCAATGAGTCATGCACAAACGCGTCTGTTCTTTCCTTATCGTTTTAAACACGGGCACATAACAGTCACTGATTCTGTTTTATTGCCTTTTAACAGAAAAACGTGACAAATTCTCAGTACTGATGTATGTTAAACTTTAGATATAACATAAATCTTCCTCGAAAAGAATGTCAAATCAGTTGTGTTAACCTTTCAATAAAAGCATGTACACACGTGATGATGAGTTACTTATTGTATTTTATGTTAAAAACGTAGTTGTTGCATACTGTGACATTTTAAGGGGATAAAATGATATCTAGATAAAATGCAATAGCACAGTCCATTCATTATGCATATTAAGTTTATCGCGGTGAGGAACTGTCACAAGAACATGGTATAATTTCTGTCACAATTGTGACCGCAGCGGGTCCTGACAGTCTACCTAAATTATATTGTAAATACACGATATTCATACAAGTACTGTATTAGTTACTCTTATACAATTTTCTTATACAGAGTGAATGTGTAACAACAATAATATATATATATAGTCGATATAAGAGTTAGATTGGTAATGTCATAACTACTAATCGTTGTGGTGTTTTTGTTTTACCGTCTAAATTTTACTCCAATAATATTTTACGTTCAGGTTTTGCTTACTTAACAGCAATAAGATTCAATAAGGTCAACTTCAGGACATCATTGACGGTAAAATAGTAATACTAGTGTTTGTATTGACAATAAATGCGATTTCATAATCTTACACTGTATATTTTCTTTTGATTTTACTTATTCCAAAGTATTCAAATAACAATATTTCCCTTAGTGTCATAGGTGGCACGGTAGTCTAGTGGTGGGACGCCAGGCTTGTGACTGAAGGGTTGCGGGTTCGAGTCACGGAACAGCAGTGTGATGTTTCAACAAATGTTGAGCAACATTTGACTTTACTTCCCTTGTTCCAGTCTACTTAGCTGTAAATGAGTCCATGGTCGGGCAGTGCTAGAATTGTTAAATGCTTGCTGTGAGCGCCGAAATAGCAGCATCGACTGTGTGCTATCTAGAGCGTTGAGGAAGATGTTGGCTGGTTGCAAAGGCCTTATAACCACTGATAATAATTTGTAAACGACCTACAAACTAAGTTGTGATAAAGCGGTAAATAAGAACCTCGAACTATTACTATTATTATTATAGGTGTCATCTACTGCACCAGAAGCCAGTATAACCGTTTATATTGACAATGAAACTCATGAAGCGAAGACCTTTTCATAAACATGTACCTATATCATTTACATGTATATGTACATTTGAAAAAAAGCAGGCTGGTTGGTGACGTGATAATCGCTTACAGTTCTTGAGTTAAATGCATGTACTTGTACATTAAATTAATGGTGTTTGACTTACAATTTCGGTGAATGATTATGTATAAAATACAATAAAATTGAACCCAGTCTACAACTTTAAATGGTATTTAACAAACTTGGCAGAAATCTCCAAAATTACCAAGAAAGACATTATCCATACTGCCTTGTTACATATATCATCAGGCCCGTAGCAGCAAATTCTTCGTTGCAGGGAGATGAAGAGACAAACATTATACATTCTGTTTGTCTGGATCTTTGAAACAAAAGAAGCTGCACACATTTTTACAAATTAAAACACCAGCATAAAATTCACAACCATTCTACCACCATATTTTGCAAAATACGATTACATTCAGATAAACAATGAACGCCTTTCTCAATCACATTTAACATCAATATTGACTCAAGCACAACATATCCATCTTGAAATAAAATAATAAATGAACACAATAAGACACTGTCCTTTAACCATCAAATTTTAAGAAAGATTTAATACGGGTATCAATTAAACATCCAAGTAAACATGTTCAAAATCACAAAATATGATTATATCAAGTTATAGGAGTGTGTCCATTCGGAAATTGCACTTGCAAACAAATGAGATATATAAAAAGTGTATGACAACAACGATGATGAATATGGGGAACCTACTACTTTAGATACCTGAGACTTCAGACGTACATTAACATTACGATCGTTAAATTTTAGCATGAAATATTAATGTTATGCTAATGGTGATGGGAACGCGATTGTCTCTGACTTGCACTGTCTAACAAGTTAAACATATTATTGTTTAAAATATAGATATATATGTTTTGCCGGAATCATTGTACGTCACATAAGGGCCAAATAATTATTCAAGCTATTGTCCAAATATATGTCGAGATTTAATAGTATGGGTATACTTTCCATCAGGTCACAAACATTCCTAAATATTCTTATCTCGACTGGGGATAGAAGCTCTGAAAATAAACCGTAAAAAGTGACATATACGTTTTAGTTTGTGCTGTGAATATTTTTTCTTCTCGGAAACATACTTATGTAGCAACCAACATGGCCACACGGAAACCAAATTCTGGAAACTATTAGCATTAATCATAAGAAACTTGCCTATTGTGGTTGGTACATTAGACCTTTCAACAACAAGCGAAAACGCTGGAATTGAACGCATCCCTGTGTATTCTGCATACAACTCATTGTCACAGTATAATGTTTAAATTCTTTGAATATAACTACGAAAAACAATTCTTACTTTTGGATAAATATACTTTTATGAATTAACATGAAAAAAAGGAAGGGTACTTCTATTCTTAGCCAAATGGGGAAGCCATTTACATAACATTTAAGCCAACATGATGTGTGAATGAGAATCATATGCGATACCGCAAGCACAAGAATGAATATGATTTTGCCCTGCAGCCAAATCGCTAGGACATTTGTATTTTTGTTTATGAAATTATGCTATGTTAATTCATTTCATGCATGCAATCAGACGCGTACTAACAGTACTGAAAGGGTAAGGTCGTTTCGCCCCAAATCCTATATTTCTTGTAGTTATACGTACTATATCGTTACGTGCCTGCCGTAATGTAGTATACTACCGTGTATTAAAATAATGAAATGTGTTTTCAGGACATAAGCTGCGCCATTTTCAAGCCATACCCAAGTCATATAATATTAATATACATGAAATTCACGCTTTCATTATCAACCTTCAGACACTTTACATACAGCTACACTTAAATACAAGGTATGACGTCATTAATAATAGGGATAATTTATATTAAGAAGTAATAAATGGAGGGAGATATTTATCATTATAATAGTCTATTCAATTTTGAATTAATGTTTTATAAAAAGCTTTTCTTTTTCCTTTCTTTCAATAGAATTTTCCGAAAATATTTGATAAAATAGGAAGATAGTAAATTTCTTTTCTCCACAAGTGTCCAAGTGTTCACTCAGTTTCGTAGTCCTGTATTCCGGTGCAATGATTTGTTGTTTATGTACACGGACTTTGGCTCTTAATATAAATAAATTATCTTCGGTGTTTTCAATTCACGTTTTCTGTTGAAAAAAATATTGCTTTCCTACACTGTCTTCGTATGTCTTAATTATCTGGTTAACACGGTGATCTACAGTAAGTAAAAATATTCCTAGTCCGTTAGTAATATGTTGTACATGTAACAAATGATATGCTAATCGCATCTGATTGTAAATAGATCTAGGTATGTGTACAGCGTCTGGAGATTTATATATAATAAAGTACTAATGCTTATTAAGATCTAATTATTTCTGATCTATTTAAACTTCTATATATGTACTGGAAAATGAGAATATTTAATGAAATACATTTTACAATTAGAGGTAAAATCAATGGGAAACAACTAAATCAAAGCAAGATACTGTCAGTGTTTTATTATTTAATTGTTTCATGCTTTACTGCCATTCGGCAATTGAAGACATTTTGGAACAAACATTACTGTTAATAAACGACAGTCGCACAAAACAAGAATATGATTTTATGTTAAACTTATACTTAAAAGTATCAATACATGTAGCAAGCGAATTGGTTATACCATGTATAATACATAAAAATAAATAAATAATAAATATGGAAACACATTTTATAGTAAAATTCAATTGAATGTTAAAAATAATATATTAATGGCACAAAAGCTGTATCAAAACAACCTTTACATACTGTAGCTGATACACCATTCTATTTGTTCATTATTGTAGTGTCGGCGTATTCAATCATAATATAACTTACTGTAAAAAGTCGATATTACCTGGGGCAACATATGTCTTAAGTGTTATAGTATATAGGACAATTGTGAAATGAGCCGGTTCTCGATTTAGCATGCACATGTTTTTCACAGATTCTCGCCGCAAAACCAGAATAGATCGGGGAACAGTAATATTTCAGACCAGATTCAAAGAGCATAATATTAAGGAAACAAGGAAAGAAATATCTAAAGGAACCAGGAGACGTAGTCAACATTAACATCAGGGGCAGTAAGATCTGAAAGACAAAACCTTCAGAAGACAGACCAGAGAAATGGTGGAAATGTTTTGCTTTAAAATCTTCGTTTGTTTATTTGTTTGGGGCTCAGCGTCCTCGCAAAAGCCGGGATCGTATGAGGACAGCGACAGTGGTCTAGGTTATTGACTTACTGAATCTTTCTAGCTTGCAGTATGCTTTTAAAAAAGGAAAGCGGCAACAAGCTGATTCTGTTCAGCGTTTGTTTTGTTTTTAGGAGATGAGGTGAGAAAACTAACCCCCACCCCATTGGAATTGGGTTTCAGGGGGAAATGATTGGCTAGCTGATTTCTGGTCTAGTAGTATTCATTGACATATTGAATGTCATATCAATTTTATAATTATGAAAACCACAAACTTTACACCTGCGTAAAACTTATGTTGACATCTGTATCTTTTAGTTGATTCTTTGTCGGTATTAGAAAAAAGTCATTGTCTATCCCCATTTCTGATCTATTATTTCTTCACAACAATTATATTGAAATCGAAGTATGAAATTTGTATATGACATAAAACACAAAAATATATTGAATCTTTTTTTTGAAAATTGTTCTGCTTATATTTCATAAATGGACTGAGCACTGAATATTTTATACGAGCCTGATGTCAAAAAGACACAACAGCAAGGATCATATAAAGACAGGTGCCTAGGGGGACACAACAGCCAGGGCCATATAAAGACAGGTGCCTATAGGGAGACACAATCGCCAGAGTCATATAAAGACAGGTACCTAGGGGGACACCGAAGCTGAAAGTAGATACTGATAACGCACGGCAAAATATAAATATGTTTACAAAATATGACAGACTATAAATAGTTTCGATTTCACTGTACATGAATTTAAGGATGACTTTCGTACGTTTTGATGATTAAAAGAAAGTAATACACGTTTATTGCTGTCGTTTTAATTTTGTATTAAGAAAATAAATTTCATAACAGACAGTCACAACTTTTTTAGTATTGTATATAACTCGTGAATTGCCTATTACTTGATTGGGATGAGCCCAGAATATCTGGAACCCACTGGTAGCGAGTTGCGATAGTACACTCAATTTCATAGGATAACGGGCTCCCGAATTCACAGTTTCTAAATGAATTTCCACTGCAAGCTGGCGAACGTACTTCAACACTCCCGTACTCATCATCTGGACAAGGGAAGGCCACTCGCTCAGTTCAATATCCATTTTGACGTAATCAAGTATCGACTGAAAAACATACAATCCAAAAAGTATTAGTATCATCATTCGTTAAGAAGTTTAAAAAAGTGTTTCAGATTGACTAGTTTTCAAATAAAGATAATATGAGGAATTGCTAAAACACAACTGCGTTGCTTCAGTACATACATTTGTGACAGTTTTCGCACAACAAACAAGTTATTATTATAATAGCTTCAGATTTATTATGCAAAACATATTTTGAGCAGGGAAAAATAAGGTTTAGTGTTTAAACGAATGATTTGGACTCAAAAGTGAAACGAGGACGTCTTTTTAAAGCATATTTTTTTTTTTCTCGTGTGGTCATGGAGATGAAAATAGGGTCAAAGCAGGTGTTTCAAGTCTGATAAGTGGAATGCAGAGTAGATTCGTACTTATATAGTAGCTTATCGACAATACATGTATCCCCTGGAGGTTTGAAAAGCGTTTATCTCGAAACACGATCACATGAAACGATTTAGGTTTAACACTTTACAAAATTAGTTTTACTTTGGAAAACTCAATACAGATCATCTGCATTTTATTGATATACATCCTATATTTATCATCCATTTTCTAATGTTTGGCCCAGATAACGCGAATGGTGGATGGTCAAGTCTTTATTAGAAAAACGTGTCGTTTGGAGTGTGGTTCATTGGAACGTCGATATAATTTAACTGTCATTACCATATGGTACATCTGATATTGTTTTGGTAGGGGAAAGTTAGATTAAATTGTCGCATGTGCCTAATTATACATGTACAATAAGTGGTAAGGGATCATTAATAGTTAATAAGATATGTACTATGAGTTTTGATTAAACGGAATGCGGAATTTAGAGAGAGGCTCCAAAAGATTGGAGAGAGAGAGGAGATGATCCAACGGATATGAGAGAGAGTGTCCGCCAAAGTAGGGGCAAGATGAGATTGTCGCGGCCACAATGCGAAGTAAACAAAAAGTCTCGGCCACAATGGAAAGTAAATAAAGTCAACATGTGTTGTCAGCGTGTAGTGTAACACATGGCTTGTATAATTACTTGTTCGCGTATCACATCCTTTAAACAGCTAAGTTCATATGCATACGAGAGCCTCATGAGACGGTCAAAAAGGTGTAAGAAAATAGGAAAGAATATATATAGATCCCAAGAGTTGCAATAGGGACAGCAGATATTTCTTTAACAAATATGTATGGTGCAAAAGAATAATCTCATTTGCTTTTTCGCCTTCCCGAATTATTTCAATGACCCTTTGTCATTTTTTTATATTCCCTTAATATGTAGTCCTCGATACAAGGCGAAATTAATTTGTAATGCCAATATATTGCCTTGAATTAAAGACAGTATAACATTTTTTTCTATTTTTGATGGGATAATAAACATTCGACTGATCCATTGGATTTATCATACAATTAAACATACATGCATACGTATACTTTCTTTAGCTGCACTAAGAATACTTACATTGGAATGTCCCAGCATTTTCGTGATAGAATCGAACGTCATCACTTTCCATGTCTGCAACATGCCGTCGTAGTTATACAGACCAAGGTTGTGGAACCAAACTTTTTCTGAATGTTTGTGGTCATCCATCCCTATACTGTAGAAAACATACACAATTGTGACAAATTTATTATAAATATGTAACAAACACGTGTGAAATATGTCATTTGTTTGTGTATTTTTTAATTTAAAAACGCAAAAATTGACAACACTAATTTGAGAATTATACAATCGACGTTCTTTTTAGCCTCAGCAACATGTAAATAACAGGCTAACAGCCATGTAGTTCTCTGGGCATATTACTGGAGTACTTTGAACTGCTGAATCCAATTTTCGGGTTTCAATTATGTCTTGGCAAGTTCCATAAACAAAAGAGACTTTGTCATTTCTGTTCTATAATTGTTATTGTATACCAAAATTCATTTAACACGGATTTTGGTAAAGAAGAAAGAAAATTAAAGATCCGAAGATCTAAATTAAATTTCATGATAAATACTGCATTCTTTCTTCAGTACAGCCTAAATGTAAGTCTTGCTTGTTAGAAAGCCGTGATAACGTTTATTTGACGTATATATCAACATATCAACTTTATCATAGTTGTAAGATACCTTGGATCGAACGAGTGGACTTCACAACCATACCGTCTCGATACTTCTTCGTCGAATGTCCAGTCCTCTGATATCCTGAGTGTGTCGAAAACATAAACTCAATTATTACAAAAGTGACATGGATATGTAGTAATAATTCAGATTTAATATGTGAAGCTTTCATGAGTCAAGTTTATGTTGTCGTGGACAAGAAATAACGTTTGTAAAATCTTTAAAAGTGTTATATCTCAATAATCGATACACAATTATTACGTTCAAAACTATTAATCCTTTATTCAGATTTGTAGTATTTCTGATATAAATTATGAAGACAACATTCTCCTCGTACAGCATATTTTGCTATATCATAGCTATATGTAAAACAAAACAGTGCCATGATAAAACGTGGGCTTAGTTCAATAGAGACAGGTGACGATTCTATTTCCCTAGTACATTGTACCGCTGATAAATTATAAATTGTCGAAATGGCCATCTGATCCAGTAAGATACTTTCTGGGTTGTCTGTATGAACAAACATCGTGTCCACTGTTTGCTTCATTTCATCGTTTGCATGTATCTAGTGAATATTGTTCGAAAATATGTGACAGTAAGAGTCAATTCGTGTATTATTTGAGCGGTATTGATATTTCTAATTGATGGTTACTGTAACAAGATCTTACACGTCACAGTAACAGTGTAGAACGATGCAAGCACAGTTATTACTGTTTGTGTAATGTCCTATTAACAGCTAAGGTAATTTAAGGACGTGCCTCCGTGTGTGTTTTGTATGCGTGCATGTGTGTATGTGTGCCGGATACAGGGTATGTTGGCGCATGTGCCTATTCGACGTTATAGTGCTATATCACTGAAATACCATGCTGAAGGCACCCAGCACAACATTCCGCCCGGTCACACTATACTGACAACGGTGAACCAGTTGTTGCCATTTCCCTAATTGCTGAACGTTAAACAGGGAATAACAACTACCGTTTTTTAGGATTTTGGTATGCCCCGGCCTGGGAACAGAACCCATTGCCTTCCTCACTTGGCCGAACGATCAACATTTAAAGCCAAAAGTGAGTTATTAATGTAAAATGAGTGTTGAACGATGTACAACAGTGTTGAACGATATACAACAGTGTTTACAATGTTATTAAATGCTTGTAAAATGTTACTTGTTAAAAGATGAGCAAAGTATCATTATTACATTCTTATCGGCCCATCACCACAGGAGAGGTCATTTGGGCCAAAAACAGGTAGATGAAACATGTTAAAGGAAATGACAACGTACGGACGAAAAGTACAGGGCAAACGTCAACTTAAACAGTGGCTATGATAAATTAACAGACCAACAGTTTTTAGCTGTAAGTTCAAATTTTACAGATATTGAGTTTCGAAAATAGATTTGAGATTTGTCATACTATATAAAAAAACTCTTGTTTGTTTAATGTCAATGCAATCTCATAACAATAGTTCGTGACTTGCCAATGCATTGCTGTTGGCATTTCCGTTTCTCTAGAAATATGAATGCGAGTGCATAGTGCCATAGAACAGGTTTAAGTCGTCACCACAACATTTTCAGGAAGTTACAACAAGAGTGTGCAATGTTGAAATATGGGAGTACGCGGCCATAATAGTAGTGTAGAATGTCGCAATATAGACCAGAAATATGCAAAGAAGTACTGACTCACCCAAACGAGTAAACGATACAGTTAGATGATGGTCTGTAAGCAGTGTCGTTACAAACGTCCCATCCTCCGTCAGCTATGCCACCAATACGGACTACGTCGTTACAAAGAACCTGTGCTGAAAAAGGGTAGCTGCAAAGAAAGTATATCACGATGTATAGCTACATCGCCAAACGGTTACGGCATTAAATATATAACGGGCGTGAACTATTTAATGGTTGTCATATATATAAGCATGTATATATATAAATAAAGAAGTTATAATGCTAAGGAATCATATGCTGGTAGCCTTATTCTCATAAAATTGTTAATAACAGCAATGAACTTGAAAAGATCATTTGTAAATAATAGTTTAGTTTGCATGTTAAAATGGAAACGTTCTTGGAGGTGTATGTTATAGGATACTTCAGGTTTTATTCTAAGATACTCCGGGTTTATACCTGTGAAAAAGCAAAGCAGCTTCGATAGCAGGAATAGTTAGGACATCGCTTGCTGGAGGTAGTGTGAGTGCCGGCAAGTGTTTCTGGCATCGCATCTATATAACATAAATACAATATACAGGTACATAAATTGTACTGCATTAGGCTCACTATTTATAAATCAATACCGCACACCAACCTACTTAACAAAATTCAAACTCAAACGACGAGATGACCAGTTTCCATGTTCGAGCCTAGTAAGTCAAAACATGTAAACATGATTAAAGTTACCGTGACTCCCCATTCGCTGTTGTCCTTTCCCCTTTTCTTTTGAATTTTGATTCTTATCAAGACTGGACTAGTTAATGCCATTAACATGTAGGATTTCATCAACTGGAGTAAACTGAACGTAACTGAAGATATCACTTGCAGACGTTCGATCTCCTTTTCCTCATTCCCTGGACGTTGAAACTGAATTCATCCAAGTTACACACATTCAGTGTTTGAGTAAAACGTCATGACACGACTATATCTGGGATCGCGTGATATTTACTTATTCCTATAAGGTGTTATACATCCTCCTAACATCTAGTGTCATTTAAGGACGTGCCTCCGTGAGTGTAATGTATGCAAGTGTGCTAGAAGCGGTATGATTGTGCATTAACATGAGGATTGGTTTCTTTTTTGTTCGTTTTACGTCGTATTTACAGCTTATGCCATTTAATGACGTGCCTCCATGTGTGTTGTGTAAGTGTGCATGTGTGTATATGTGCTGGATGCATGGTGTTCGTGTAATTGACTCCGTGTGGCAGCGTGGATCTTATACCGAGATGATGACGGTTATGCAACATAAAACATTCGTTTTTGTTGCTGTCTATGATGTCGTTCAACCAATTGCTTTATTGCTAGATGTTCTTGTTTTGCTAAAACGTTTGGATTTAAATCATGCTGTTTCCTTTAGGTTTCCTGGTGCAGAAGGATGCAAGCACTTAAAATCGTCCATATTTCAAATTTATTTGAATGGAAATAGACAACTTCCGTTTTTTAATTTTTGTTTTGTTTCCAAAAATAAAGGTTTTGTTGCAAGTGATTGATATGTTCAGTACATCATATCAAAATCAACAGCTGGAAAAGTTAAAATAATTCGATTAAATCGTTCATTTTACAAAATACTGATGATATTTAAGGCAATTGATATTTTTATCGAGAACATAATATGACTTTAATATGATACAAATGTTCAAAACAACAATGAACACACAAGTTGAACATAACTCGTATCTTATCTATCAATAACCTGAGTCATAATATATTCCCTTATAGAGCTATAGCATCCGTGAACAGAGATCATCCATATATTGCCAAACTTCTAGAACACTAAAAGGTCAGCAAGGGCCCAACAATGTGCCTGTCCGTTTTTTTATTGCCATATGCCTGACCTTTCCCCTACGGTCTATTTACAGTAACAGAAACCTTGACTTTGACCTTAAAACACGTTTCCTTTTTTGCGTATATATATACATATGTAACTGTATATCACAAAGTAAAAAAATCACTTTTGGAATCGAAGATGCTCTATATTTATCAACAGTAACCTGAACCTTGACATAAGAAGTTTAAAATCTCTATTGCACATATACATACTGTGTATCACAGTGCATCACCCTTTTAAATTTAAGAAAGATCAGTATTTTGGATTCCGAGATAGTCTCCAGAAAAAGTTAGGAACGACGGCGGAGACAGACATTATCATAGGCCAACCGCGTTGCTGATGCAGGGCACTACTGTGACAGGAATGCTTTATTATTTGATGGTGTATTGTGTTGGGTGTCATCGGCATGGTATTTAAGAGAACAAAACACTCCTAAGTTGGCATCAGATTCGCACTATCGCAAACAGGCAAATCAACCACCATACACACATGTCTGCAAATATTTAACACATTGATTCGCGTCCTTAAATGACCCTTTCTGTTAAAAGGACTTTTAACAAATGCAACCAAAATGTGTTCGTTGAATAACGGTATAGTGTGAAAATTTACAAAGGAGTTATTCGTCACAGTTAAAAAATTCAATTTTATAAATTGATATTTGATAAGCTTCTGCAAAGTCTATATTGGCATTTTCTCAGGCTTGCTTTGTTTTATGCGATTTTATTTAAAAAGTATCTAACAACCAAGGTGTTATATCAGTCAAACCACACTACACATTCGGTTCTAACCTTACCATGACCAGGGGACGTCTTTTGTAAATCTATATGCCGAAAATAGATTTATAGATAATTGCCCTTGTGACGATAATTTCGTATGCATGTACATTGGAACTACATGTACCTATGCTTCCTTTGACAGTGCAATTCACTGTATACTTTTTGGATGATCAAACAGCCATGATATCAGTGTCGATAACACATAACAAGCTAACCCAACTGCTACATCTACTAAACTACGCCGTAAGTTTCATGTATGGCTAAAATGTACCTTCATTATTAAATATAACAATTCACTGGAAAAATGTACTCGCGTTGTTTTAGCAAGGAGAGTAGTTAATTTTGAATTTAAATGATTATTAATCTATCAATCTTGGCGACTAATCAACTCACAGGTTTTTTTTTAAAACCAGTTAATGATCGATTCAGGATAATCAAAAGAATTAAACAAACCAAAGGAAAAATACAAAAGGTAAAACTTGTTCATGAATATAAAAATCTAAATATTAAAAGTTGTTATGGTTGTCGTATCTTTGAAACAGATTAACAGACTCAGAACTTTCTATAAATGTTTATAAATTATCTTGTGTCGGCTGAGAGTTGATGTCCAACCGTATTTGTTTCGTATCATTGAAGTACAGTTAACATGAATGGGTAATATAGGAGCGATCCCTTCGGCGACGAACAATAACACTTCAAAAAATTATTTTCCTATAGAAGAAACACCAACCAATGATTCAAAGTTTTATTGGACATAATCTGAAGTCTACTATAGCAACTGTGACAAAACAATTGTGTTTCAAGTGATTGAGGATGATTATGTTGAATATTTAAATCAATCAATAACAAGTTAATCCCACGTGTCAATGAACCTAACATAATACAAAAGTCTTTTTAAATGATTCATGTTGTGTATTGTACAAATTAAAATGTCTTGTGAAATGCATGGTACAGTAGTATTCACCTAGAAAAAAGCAGTATGGAATCATTGGTATTCGTTTGTTTTGTTTTGTTTTTGTATTGTTTCATAGACCATCGACAATGCGAGTCATTTTAGGCCATCCAACACATTAAACTCAAACATCACAAAAAACGAAAACATCAAACTAGAAATAAACGGATTTAAAAGGTGGACAAAAATATCCACGGGGAACGAACTGGTTGTAAATCATATCATAAATTATTATAACGATCAATTGAGTGTAAATAAACACATAGTAATTGAACAGAAACGGTATCAAATAAACTTTTCATACATGATACATTATATAATCTGTCAAGCTTTTCTTTGAAAACAGGACATTCATTTATTGTTATTCATGAAACTAACTCAATTAACTAACCATATATACGACGTAGCATCCTGTGACTTTATTTCCGTCGACGTTGTACCAACAAGAGCGATCCACTTCTCGGGAGAGATGGAATATTCGGAATCCTTCATCATATAATCGTGATAGAAGAAGCAGTTCTCGGACATAATCGGCATGTGATGAGGCGTTTCCAATACCCTCAAATTTGACAATTAGTTGATCGACGTTTTTAAGGATTTTCTTGGATTCTAACCATAGTACTATGTCAAACCACTGCCGCCCTGCGTTGATCAGCAGAGATTTGTTGGTCGGCTGAAAAAATATTTTAATGCATTGAAAACGTAAATATGATAAATGTTTTTTTGTTATAAATAGCATTGAAAGATCACAATATTCATACGTGTCAGATATAACATGAAAACGAATCAGCATATATTTTTGTTGGGTGGGGTTTAACGTCTTCGTACCAGTCAGTGTCATATCAGGATGGGTGCGAAGGGAGACACTGCTTGAAACATTAAACAGAGCAGACTAAACCAAAGTAAAAGCACACATATATGCTATGTAAGGGAGTCCATTTCCTGCATAAGTAACACAATATGAAAATCGAATACCTGACATGGGAATACTAGTTATCGCATCGAATTCCCCCTGCACGCTTTGGAGCTTGCCTACTGATATTGCTTTAAACCAGTAGTTCAAGGACTATTTGAAACAAGAGGCCCAGAGGGCCCGTATCGCTCACCTGAATATAATTAAAATAATTGGTATGAAGTAAAGATATAGCACTCCATGGTAGGTGCTGTTAGAACACACTTCAAACAGAGCCCCACCCCTATGCCCCTACAGGGGTCATACCCACCAATTATACAAAATTGAGTCACCGTCACCCAAGGATGCTTCACACTAAATAAGGATAAAATCCCTTAATCCCGATGGTCGGAGAAGGATTTTAAAGGTTTTACCTCTATTTTCCTTTTTGGGCCCCGCCCTTCTGCCCCCCCCCCCTCGGAGACCACACCTACTGCTAATATAAAATTGAGTCCCCTTGGCCCAAGTATGCTCCAGACTAAATAAGGATAAAATTCCTTAATCCCGATGGTAGAAGAAGGATTTTAAAGGTTTTACCTCTATTTTCCCTATTGGGCCCCACCTCTCTGCCAACAGCGGGGTCAGACACACCGTTTATACAAAACTGGTTCCCCTTCACCCAAGAATGCTTCAGACCAAATATGGACAAAATCCTGCTATTCCTACCGAAGAAGAAGGATTTTGAAGATTTACATCTATTTCCCCTATTGGGCCCCACCCACCGTTTATACAAAATTAGTTCCCCGCTACCCAATGATGCTCCACACAAAATATGGACCAAATCGTTTCATTCCTACAGAAGAAGAAGGATTTTAAAGAATAATTTGCTATGTTTCCCTTATTGGGCCCCTCGGCTCAGGAACCTGGGGGGCCAGATCCACGGTGTATACAAAATTGGTTCCCCTTCATCCAAGAATGCTTCAGACCAAATATGGAACAAATCCTTTCATTCCTACAGAAGAAGAAGGATTTTAAAGAATTTGCCATATTTCCCCTATTGGGCCCCGCCCCTAAGCCCCCAGGGGGGCCAGACCCACCATTTATACAAACTTTGTTCCCCTTCGCCAAAGGATGCTTCTGACCAAATATGGACCAAATCCTTTCATTCCTACAGAAGAAGAAGGATTTTAAAGAATAATTTGCTATGTTTCCCCTATTGGGCCCCGCCTCTCAGGCCCCTGGTGAGCCAGACCCATGGTGTATACAAAATTTGTTCCCGACTACCCAAGGATGCTCCACACCAAATATGGACAAATCCTTTCATTCCTACAGAAGAAGAAGGATTTTAAAGAATCATTTGCTATATTTCCGCTATTGGGCCCCGCCCCTCAGGCCCCTAGGGAGCCACACCCACGGTTTATACAAACTTTGTTCCCCTTCCCCCAAGGATGCTTCTGACCAAATATGGACCAAATCCTTTCATTCCTACAGAAGAAGAAGGATTTTAAATAATAATTTGCTATATTTCCCCTATTGGGCCCCGCCCCTAAGCCCCCAGGGGGGTCAGACCCACCATTTATACAAACTTTGTTTCCCTTCCCCAAAGGATGCTTTTGACCAAATATGGACCAAATCCTTTCATTCCTACAGAAGAAGAAGGATTTTAAAGAATTTGCTATATTTCCCCTATTGGGCCCCGCCCCTAAGCCCCCAGGGGGGCCAGACCCACCATTTATACAAACTTTGTTCCCCTTCCCCCAAGGATGCTTCTGACCAAATATGGACCAAATCCTTTCATTCCTACAGAAGAAGAAGGATTTTAAAGAATAATTTGCTATATTTCCCCTATTGGGCCCCGCCCCTCAGGCCCCTGGGGGGCCAGACCCACCATTTATACAAACTTTGTTCCCCTTCCCCCAAGGATGCTTCTGACCAAATATGGACCAAATCCTTTCATTCCTACAGAAGAAGAAGGATTTTAAAGAATTTGCTATATTTCCCCTATTGGGCCCCGCCTCTCAGTCCCCAGGGGGGCCAGACCCACCGTTTATACAAACTTTGTTCCCCTTCCCCCAAGGATGCTTCTGACCAAAAATGGACTAAATCCTTTCATTCCTACAGAAGAAGAAGGATTTTAAGGAATATTTGCTATATTTCCCCTATTTGGCCCCGCCTCTCAGGCCCCTAGGGGGCTAGACCCACCATTTAAACAAAATTGGTTCCTCTTCACCCAAGGATGCTCCACACCAAATTTTGTTAAAATCCGCTCATTGGTTCATGACTAGTAGTGTAAAGTTGACGGACGACGGACGACGGACGCTGCGGTATGGCATAAGCTCACCTTGGTCCTTCGGACCAGGTGAGCTAAAAACTGGAGGTAAGAAGTCGTCAGCAGTCGGTTTTGCAGACCACCTGTCTCAAAACAGAGTATTGCAAGGCAGTCCATAGTTCCCCACCAGTAAAGATTTCTATGATTAACAAACAGTACACTTATGTCAGGTAGCATAAGTCACAGTGAGAATATAGTGACTTACTTTTTGCACTCTGATATCCCAAGATGTCTTTGTACACCAAATCTGGTAACTCCAGGTGAAAAAAGTAAAGAAGAAATGCCCCGGACAAAACTTTTCAAAAGTGAAGGTCAAAGGTCAAGTTGTAGGTAACAGTGACCCAATTATTGCACTCTGCAATCCGTCATCCCAAGATTGTACACCAAATATGGTTACTTCATGTGAAAAAGTATAGAAGATATGTCCCGGACACACTTCTTGGACGGAAGGACGGACAGTGTGCAAACCTATAGTCCCCCCGGGAATCGCTTTTTTGATATATCATGAAAATATAGCTACATGTATTTAAAAAGAATACCTAGGACTAAAACACGTTTTAAAGCTTTTAAAGGTCTTATTAGATAATATCATGTTTTTATTTGATGACCGAGTGGTTGTAGACAGGATTAAATACAAAACCTAGGGCAGAATGGGAATGTCCACAGCAATCGGGTGATCTATTGATGTGTCTCTTGTTGGGGAGTCAACTCAAATATGGCGAAGCGGAGAGTCTGTTGAGTGTCCACAGAAATTGTGGAGGGGAGGGCTTAACAGTAGTCTATGTCTGTGTGTTGGGGGGGG